CAAGATAAGTTTGTTTTATTTCTCCCAGTGCATGTGATTGTGTGGTTGCTGGTGTGCAGGTATTAGCCGGCACAGCTTGTTGAGGGCCCAGAAACAACTTTGGCAGGAACTCAGACACCGAAACGCGACTCCGATCCGAGTTTCCTGGCTCATTTTATGATAATGTTCAAACCTGGCGTTAATGAGCTCTTAAGCTTAAATAAGAAACGTGATTTAGTTACTAAGTAAACTAGGAAATAAACGGCAACATCACATAGTGAGAGAGGAAGAGAAAAGATAGAGGAAAAGAGTGTTTGCCAGAGAAAGTCTTCGCTTAATTTGAAAAGTTTGACAACCCAGCCACACACAGCACCCTATCACACCCAAAAAAAATAAGAACACCTGCAGAGCTTACCAGGTGTAATAAGCACACAACTACACACACCCGGCAGAACTATCAAATCAGGCCCTGTTCTTGGCATTCGCATCCAAACTTTTTGCATACAATATCCCGCCAATTAATTGGCCAACTCCGAAGGCCGACAAGCAAATGAAAAAAGTTTTGCCGATTCGTGTGCATCGAATGTCCATCATCAGATCTGATCAGTCTTGGCAGTTTTAATAATTTCCAGGCCAAATCCAACTAATCAAAACTCAGACGGAGTCGGGAATAGACCAAAAACGGACTTGGGTCCAGACGAGTTGACAGTTTTGGTTTGACAAAACATATATCCAAAAAAAAATTTGAAAGTTTGGTCGAATTTTATATGCACTTAAGAAATTTAAAAAATTGAAAACTAATTTTCTTTATAAGAACTAAAAATTTAATAGTTTTTCATACCAATAACGAAATATAGTGATATGAGAAATTATTACCATATATTTTATTTATTTAAAGCTTGTAAATGTCTCACAAATACTTTACCTCTTTCATAGCGTGTAACCATTCCTTTATGCCCCATTATCAAAGAGCAGAGGGAACCCTTTTCATGAATAACTCAATTCAACTCGGTTCGGCTTATGAAATTTATGTAAATCTACTGGAAATTGAAATATGCAGATGCTCATTTCGAAAATTAGACAAAGCCAAAGACGCTCAAGCAACGAAATGTATTAAAATGTATTTCGCATTTTATTAAATTTACCAGCATGATAAATTCCATGGTGTCTCGGCTCTGTCAAGTTCACAGGCGACCCAACTTAAATTAAGTAATAAGTTTTATGCGCCTTGACCTCAAGGGTTCACACAGCACACAGTACACATCCACACAACCTCTTCGCTCAAGGATACAAAGCTGAATATGTATTGACACACTCCTGGCTGACTTTTGCCTTTTGTGGTTCAAAGGTCGGGAGCGTGTGAAAAGCAGACAAGCAGATTTTCTTATTAAAATTATACAGATCTTACGGTCTGAAGAGGGGAAAGCATTTAGGGTTAATTTCGGCACCGAGTCCCAGACCGACACAAGGCACAAAAGTTAATGTGATTAATGTTTACTTAATGAAATGAAGTTATCAAGTTGATTTTATCAATTTACACACAGGCGTTGCCGCAGACAAAGGCCCCAAAAATTCTCGAGAGCCTGTCAAAACTGGCGCCGGTGTGATGAAGGTGCTCCTTGGGATTAGGTGAGAGTCGTTCTCGCTTTTGATGAAAAAGTCAAGGAGGAAGGAGCTGTCTAAATGCACTGAGAAAAAGGAGTGTTCATCAAAGAGTATTTTAAAATCGAACACCTCATTTATTGTACAATATTAGTTCATACTATATGGTATAATTTAATTTTCCACGTCAACTTTACTACTATAAACCTACATTTCAAGTTTTTAAACCTTTAAAATGTTGTTTGGTTAAGATTAAAATTCTTTATATGTTTTAAAAATTAATTACATTTTTTGCAGTGCACTCTTCTAGTTCGAATTCAGTTGACTTGGCCTGGCTGAAAGGCATATTAGTTAAATGTGGTTGACAACCGACTGCTCAAGTTTTGGCCAGGCAAATATTTGCCACAGTCTGGGGATCTTCCCATCTTGGGGTTTTCGGATGGTAAAAGTTGGATGTTGCAATCAGTGGACGTGGCAAAGGGAATTCCGTGGAAACAAGTTCAATTAAATCCCAGTCTCTGTCGCATTTGCGTCTTTCGTTAATCAATGCGTTTAACGTTTTCAATCAAGCAACTGGTAAAAAGGCAAAAGCAGCCAAATGATTGTGGGGAAGGGGGAAGCAGTGGGGAGCGGGCCAGTCAGTCAGTCAGAGAGACAGCTCAAATTCAGTTAAGCATTTCACTTATTTGCATATAAATTGATTAAAAAGAAAATACACGCCAGACACTCGCACACAGTCGCAGAGTTTTGAGTGTGTCAACATGGCAAAATGGCAAAAAGGACGAAAGGGTCCTGGTCTTCTTCTCACCACTCCCTCTATCTCTGTCTCTTTCTCGTGTCTGGCCATCTCTCTTCCACAGCTGAGGCTTTTCCTCTTTGGCAATTTCTGACACTTCAAATGCGTATGATTGTTTTCCTTTTGATCAGCGAATTGTGAAGTGATTCACTGATTGAGTTCAGGCTCAGTTGATGCGTTGACAACATCAATGCACACACTCTCCCGTTGAAAACCCGCCCATGTAACACCCCCCCCTCCAGCTTTTCACACACCCACACACTCAGACGGGCAGTCAGTCAACCGGGGGAAATGTGTGGAAAAGGTGGAAAACCTTCAGGTCATTTCCACTGGTCATTCGCTGGCCGCCCTTTCGAATGAAAAGCTTTTTCAAAACCACGGTCAAGTTGTTACTTCTTATAAAAGCTGAGCGAAAATAGATTTTATTATGGGATTTATTTGCTTTTGAAGTCAATAATCAAACTACTTAGCTATATACAAAATATAATGAGTCTCTATATGTGAGTGAATATATAAATAATAAAAAGTCATGGTATAATATTGTAAGTACCATATTTATCTGTTTTTCTCTCAGTCGTTTCCTTGTCTTACAGAGGGGACTACTTCGGAGACTCAATATGAGTCACCTTTGCCCTTTATTTACTATGTGACCCATTCATCGCCCTAGCATGTTGTGGTTCACCCCGAGCTGTTGCCTGGTTCCATTTACTTTTGCGGCTTATATTATTTCTGTGCCAAAGGTTTGGTGGGCCGAATTTAGTTGTGTTTCAATTCGGTAGGCGGAATGTTCTTGAAGGCCGTCCGCACGAAAGGCTGGAGCCTCAAGGTTAATATAAATTAATCAATTATCAAACAAAAACAGCTGCTTATAGCGGATAAGCCGTTCAATGTGCCGGTTCAAAGTGCTTATTCGAATGCATATTACGCATACGCAGTGTGGGCCGCCGGCAGTGATTCATGACTGATTATTTGGGCCACGATAGACAAACACAGGGGTCGATGTGAAAATAATGTGCTGTCATGTTTGCCGTGCCTATTTCCGTTAATGGTCGAGTGACATGGCAGTGCTCTCGGGCCGAATGCATATTATATGAGACAAATATGACCCGTGGAGCACGAGTAGCCGTTAAGCTACCTTCATTTGAATCCTAAATCAGGGCGATTTTGCAAATTACATGTTTTCGTTTAAGTAATTGAGTCCCTGGCACAACAAGACTCAATCAAAACAACCGGCCACCGTACAAAAATCAAATAATCAATACTCAGGGACTTGAGCACCTGAACATTCAGTTACAGTGAACATTTTTGTTTGACATTTATATAAAATGTAATACCATTTTAGCTTCCACTATTTTTATTGATTTAACAAGTCTTTTTTTTCAAGTTTACAGTGATTTTTAACAATTAAGGGTTTCTAATAGGGTGTGTTTTATAATACATTTAGGTACAAAAACGTAGGGCCTTAAGAATTTAAAAAAGATGTGTGTGGATTTTAGTGGAATTTTTGTGAATCAAAGCCAAATTCCCAGTCAAAAGCCAAAAATCCACTTTCATTCCCCAAACTCTTTTGAATGGCACTAATCAAACCCATCGCTTACTTAACTTTGACCTTTCTGTTTCGTTTGCAATGCAATTGCAATAAAATCAAACCAAATAAATTTCGAACTAGTGGACATTTAGAGTTGCATTCTTTTAGGTGCTTTCATTCTTTTTATCTAGATCAATTTTACAGTCACCATTCATGGCATTTTGTATTTTTTTCTGTCGGCTCGTGTTGGTCGCAGGTAAACATTTGGCCAGAGACAGTCACGAAATTGGTGTGTGGGCACTGGGAACTAGCCACTTTTTAATTGAAATAAAATGTTTAGAAGGCCGGTAGATTTCGAGGGCAGTGTTGACCGCAATCTGACTATTTCAAGGGGTTCGACCCTATTCGTTTGAAATGAAATGAAACTCTCTACAATTTAATAGAAATTGAAAATAGAAAAATGTTGTTTTTGTGATCTGACACTTTGATAAAATGTTTTCCACCCATGTTAAATTAAAAAAATATATATTAGAATATAAAGGTCCTAAATAAATTTGTAATAATACTTTAAATTGAATTGAAAATAGAACTCCACCTTTTTTGACCTATCAAATATTTACATAAATGAGATAATATATATGGTATGCCATTATTTTTCTAAACTTCTTTTTGTTATAAAAAAAATTAGATCTGATGATTATGATGACTATAAATGATGACTTTATGATATCATATATCATCAGATATTTTTGATTATTTAAATACATTTTTATTCTATATTGACTTAAAAAATAATCGTTTTTTATGAAAAGAAATGCCATCACTGGCAGAGCGAGCGAGTTATTAGGCGGATGAGTCAGGTGAGTGAGAGAGATGGGGGCTTTTCTGTCTGGGCGAGCTGTCTGCTCTACATGAGCGTAAATGCTTTTTAGTAACTAGTTTTTCCCTCGCCACAAAAGCCGGCAAAGCTCATATTTCATTTCCACTCGTTCCCCCGCCGCAGTGCCTCTCGCTCGCTCTCTGTATCTCCGCATCTCCCCGTCTCCCTTCCACCAGCGAATGGCTGTTTATTCATTGCCGCCGCTTTATTTTTCGCTTTCAGTTTGCATTTCAAAGCCACCAAAGTAACAAGTATCTTGCAGTTATCCATTCAGTTGGGCGACTATAAAAAAACAAGGCTCCATCAAATTTTGTATAAAACTAGTGAAGAGGTCTATTCAGAAAAAATACACACCCCCTGAAATGGAGGTAGGTTCTGAGTTTGGGGTCTGACTTGTTTTTTTTCTCACATTTGTTCTCTGTTTGTGGGGCTACACTTTTGGTCGGCGACCTTCACCTTGGGTTCCAATTAGAGAAATTGCGAAAAGGGCTTTCACCGAAATGAAAAAACCTACCCCACTTTCGTTACTTGTCTCGTCTAGTAACGAAATCCACTTAATTGAAAGCATTTTGACTTGAAATTGTGACGAAACTTTAAGCGAGCGTCTTGAGAAATACAAGCTCAGCCGATGCGAATGATTCACGGCGGTTAAAGTGATATTTTGTTTGAGTTTACCCAGCGTTTCTAATTACTTGATCCATAAACGGAGGTTTTGGTTAGTCACTTTTGAAGGGGTTTTGCGTTAATTACCTTACGTGGAATTTTCATACGATACTTGAGGAAAATAATCAGCTACTCTGGTTTTGATTCACTTGGGTTTATTTGTTTTTCATAAAGATTATAAAAATGTACTGTAGATGAACAAGATAATGGCAACAAAAGACAAGATATAATAGGGTACAATATTGAGCTGTCCAACTCAACAAAAAAATAGACTTACAAAATTAAAAACTTCCATCAGAAATTCACATTTGAAATACATATTATACATTAAACATTTTATAAATTAAGAAAAGCTATCTCTCGTAGTACTGTAAAAGTTAAAAGTAATTTATTAATTTACTTTCAAGTTCAATTGATACCCTTATTACCAAACTTGTGGGTATTAATTCCATCTTTAATAATAGTAATCTTTCTTTAACTAAACGCCTACTTGAAAATTTCAAGTAAAGCAACTCAATGCCACAGGTGTTCACGTTTCCTAATAAATCAATCGATACATCTTTTTCTAGTGAATAAAAGTAGGAGTAGGCCCTGTAAAAGTGTCCTAAAAACTATTTAACTGAACTAGTCGTATGCATAACAAGTTTTTCTGAAATGTCTTTCCAAAAGTCCCCGAATAACGACCTGTACACCCTCGAGGCCAACTTGGCGAGCCAAGCGCTTCGGGAACTGACAGATGGCGCCGACAAGGACGCCATTACCAAGCTGCGATTGCTGTGCTTCAGCCGCGGAGCAACAGGCATTTTGGGACTGGGCAGGTACGATTGCCTTATTGGTCCTTAACGACATTCTAATCGGCCCTGCGATCAATTATGCAATAGTAACAGTTTAATTTCGAATTATTCAACGCAGGGCCTTTCGGGCAATGGATGATGATGGCAGCAAGGCGCTCAACGAGGAGGAGTTCATCACCGGCATTAGGGATACGGGCTTGGATGTCACGGAGGAGGAGATTAAGCAGATGTTTGAGACGTGAGTGACAGGTGTGCCATTGGCACAGAAAGATATCAAGTTATTAAATTTCCCCAATCTTTAATCTTTAAGGTTCGATGAGGACGGCAGTGGATCGATCAACATGACCGAGTTTCTGCTGAAATTGAGGGTAAGTTATAGAAATATAGCAAGCATTTGTATATGGCAAGTGATAAAATCCATCGATGTCGACCATCATCTAATTACTTAAAACTACCATAACCCATACTCATATAATTAATTAAATGATTATTCCTAGTAATAGTGGTAGTAGTTAATAAAGCTTACGTGTTTTTCTAGCCTCCAATGCCCCAGAGTCGCCTGAGTATTATCGATCAGGCCTTTGACAAAATGGATCGCGATGACGATGGTGTTATAACCATCCAGGATCTTAAGAATGTATATTCCGTAAAGGAACATCCCAAGTACCAGAGCGGAGAAAAATCCGAGGACGAAATCCTCACTGATTTTCTGCACAATTTCGAGGGGGGTCGTGGTAACTTAGATGGCAAGGTGAGTCTTCAGGAAAACCCCTCTCAAATATTTACTTAACAATATTATTCACCACAGATAACCCGAGAGGAGTTTGTCAACTACTATGCCACTATTAGTGCCTCTATCGACAACGATATGTACTTTGACTTGATGATGCGTCGTGCCTACGCCATGTAAATAATGCACAAATCTCACTAAAACACAAGCACTCCACTAAAATCTCAATCACTTCACAATTCACTTGCCTAGTATTTAGTACAGCTCATGTCCTATTTATACACAACTCGGAAAATAAATAAAAATTAAATAAATCTCAAATAATGTTCGTATGGGCAACGTTCCAATTGCAAAGAAATGAAGTATCTCTTTTTATAATTCGAATTTGAAATACTTGATAGAGAGTTGGAATTTAATGGATTTAAGGGGTTCCAGGACTTAGGATTCGTTAGCAGTGAGCATGAAGAAGTGTTTGTTAAATATGCAGACTAACAAGTAACAAGTTTTCTCTAAACATTTGTTCGTAGTTTACATGGATTTAAAGCCTGGCTGGGTGGGTACACGGAGAAATATATTTTCTCAATTTTAATAGGGGTTACATCACTTTTTTTTCGAAAAATGGCAAAAATAAAAAATTTTCAGGTTAGAACGCCAATCGATTGGAAATTATGACTTATATTTTTGTCATGGCAGCCAAAAAACTGAATTTTTATGGCGAAAAAAGGGTTAAATTTTTTGTAAAATTACAAAATTTAGATTTTTGTCAAAAATTCGACATTTTTTCCCGGTTTTTCCATCGTACTTCAGCCAAATCAAGGCGTACAGCAAAAAGACCGACTGTTTTGAACAGCTTGCTAAATATGCTAACGATCCTCATCACTTTATGAAAAATTTATTTTTTGACCAATTTCCTCAATTTTTGTAGGGGTTATATCACTTTTTTTTCGAAAAATGGCAAAAATTAAAAATTTTTAGGTTGAAATGCCAATTGATTGGAAATTAAACAACAAGCTCAACGAGGTATGACATTCCTCATTCTGACTTATATTTTATTTAGGGCAGCCAAAAAACTGAATTATTATGGCGAAAAAAGGGTTAAATTTTTTGTCAAAAATACAAAATTTAGATTTTTGTCAAAAATTCGACATTTTTTCCCGGTTTTTCCATCGCACTTCAGCCAAATCAAGGCGGACAGCAAAAAGACCGACTGTTTTGAACAGCTTGCTAAATATGCTAACGATCCTCATCACTTTTTGGAAAATTTATTTTGTGACCAATTTTCTCAATTTTTGTAGGGGTTAGGTCACTTTTTTTCGAAAAATGGCAAAAATTAAAAATGTTCATGAAATGCAAATTGATTGGAAATTAAACAACGAGCTCAACGAGGTATGACATTCCTCATTCTGACTTATATTTTTGTTATGGCAGCCTAAAAACTGAGTTTTTATGGCGAAAAAAGGGCTACATTTTTTGTCAAAAAAATTCGACATTTTTTTCCGGTTTTTCCATCGTAGTTCAGCCAAATCAAGGCATACAGCTAAAAGACCGACTGTTTTGAACAGCTTGCTTAATATGGTAACGATCCTCATCACTTTTTGGAAAATTTATTTTTTGACCAATTTCCTCAATTTTTGTAGGGGTTACATCACTTTTTTTCGAAAAATGGCAAAAGTTTATAATTTTCAGGTTGAAATGCCAATCGATTGCAAATTAAACAACGAGCTCAAAGAGGTATGACATTTCTCATTCTGACTTATATTTTTGTTATGGCAGCCAAAAAACTGAATTTTTATGGCGAAAAAAGGGTTAAAATTTTTGTCAATAATACAAAATTCAGATTTTTGTCAAAAATTCGACATTTTTTTCCGGTTTTTCCATCGTAGTTCAGCCAAATCAAGGCGTACAGCAAAAAGACCGACTGTTTTGAACAGCTTGCTAAATATGCTAACGATCCTCATCACTTTTTGGAAAATTTATTTTTTGACCAATTTCCTCAATTTTGGTAGGGGTTACATCAGTTTGTTTTCGAAAAATGGCAAAAATTAAAAATTTTCAGGTTGAAATGCCAATCGATTGGAAATTAAACAACGAGCATTCTGACTTATATTTTTGTTAGGGCAGCCAAAAAACTGAATTTTTATGGCGAAAAAAGGGTTAACATTTTTGTCAATAATACAAAATTCAGATTTTTGTCAAAAATGCGATTTTTTTTTTCTCAGTGTACCCAAAATTTGTGAGTCTGAGTGTGGGCGTGGCTTATAATCAAGGCAGAGCGCCGAAGACGGCAATCACAGCAACGAACAGAGAACCAAGAACCCAGCCCAAAATGCTTGCCAGACTCGGCAAATTGTTTGGAATTGTCAGCAGCAGCGAACTGATGTCCTTCGGCTGGATGTGTGTGTGCCTCTGTGGGTGTATGTGTGCATGTGCGTGTGATAGTGGGTGTTCGTGCGAGTGTGTGGGTGTGCGCTGACTGGTTGGCATTTATCACACAGCCAGGACCGGCAGCCTAAATGTATGCTTTAAATTATGCAGACACCAGCTGAGTTTGTCGCCACATGCAACTGTGTGCTTGTGTGTGTGTGCGGGCCTCTGTGTGGGTGTTTTTGCGAGTGTATTTGTTTGTGCGTGGCAAGTTTGTGCACTGATTGCAAGCAACTCATACAAAATTTTAATTGCCAATGTTGAAATTACGCACTGAGAAAAAGAACGAGCGAGAGACAGACTTCTACGAAGTGAGTGTGAGGAAACCCCGAGAAAACAGACTTGCCTAACAAGCCATGCACTGAGAAAAATAAAAAGAAATTGAAACATAAGTAAAACATTAAAAGATAAGAGGAACTGGCTAAAGTCGTCTTATCGGAATTTTTTTTTGAGTTGTCTTTTGGAAAAGATTTGTCTTACGAAGTAACAATTATATTAATATAATTTATTGATACTTCGATATTTTGTTTACTTTGGGAATTTATTAATCACTTTTTTTTTCTCAACAATTAAATATGAAACTAAGGTTTTAAATAAATTGCATATATTATTAATATATACATCAGAGATATATTTAAATATTTATTTGGCTCTTTCACTTGGACACCATTTTGATAATATTGATATACACTATTTTAATAAAATAAGAGTACTTTAAAATTGCTTGAAAGAATTTCTCACAGTGTATATGCAATCGTGCCCTACTATCTCCGGGTCTGCTGTGTGTAAATCACACACTCACAACTTTATCGTATCATTTCATTAAATTTTATTTACAGCCTGGCAACTGTCGTTGGGTATCTCCTGCTTTTTGGCAAGTTTTTGGCCAAAGACAATTGAGAATTTGTGGCAGTTTTCAGTTGCCGGAAACTTCCTGCCGAAGCCCCAAATGGCTCGGCTAATCAAAAAATTTTCAATTGCCATTTTTGTTTCGGTTTGTTGTTAGGTTCGCCAGCTCAAACACATGTCACCAGTTTGCATGGCAATTTCCATTTATTGATAGTCGAATAACTTGATAATTTCGATTTTATGGCTTTTCAATTTTTTCAGAAGATAAAGTTTAATAATTTATTTTTTGGCTAGCAGCTTTGTTATGTTAAAATATTTTTTAAGGCGTTCCTAATTTAATAAATTTATGCTGAAATAGAACATGTAAAATAAACTGTAAAACTAAGACCAACTGGAATTTGGCTAGGACAATTTTCAAACGTTGAATGTCGTACAGCGACGACTAATGCATTATTTAAATCTAGTTAACACTTGGCCATTTGCCGTTGATTGAAAAGGACGAAGCCGAGAGGTGAAAGGACATCGCTGGACGGCAAAGAGGGTGCCCGACAAATGGAAGAGCAGCACATAAAAATAATAATAATAAAAGGCAGCCGCAGGCCAACGGTCCTTGGGACATCATTGACGGAGTATTGAATACATTTCATTGCATTCGAAATGGGGAATCGGGCATGGAAAATGGAAAATGGGGAATGGAAAATGGAGAACGTGGAGCGGAGAAAGGATAATGGAGAGCGAGTGGGCCGGCAGAATGGTAAATGGCGAGAATGTATCCTTCTGCGGTAGGCATCGAAGTGACGAAACTGCAAAGTATTTCAGTCACGTTTTAAATGTAAAAATCTCAATCACGTGCTCGAAATGCGCGCATTCACAATATGCACAAGCTACGAGTACAAGCAACAAATAAAAGGGCAGTGGCGAACGATACACTGAAAAATATCAAGGATAAGTAACTATAACTAAGTTATACCCTTTCAGGAAGGCTAAAGAAATAATACTTACTAAAAAAATATTTATTTAATATTTAAAAATACATAATAATGTTATTATTTTCGCGAACTTTGGAATCCTACAGCTCTTTTTTCTCTGTCGACTGTCGACACACGAAAAATCCCGGGCTTTTGGCCAACTGCAAAACGAAAGGAAGCCGGATCCCGAAATGCGGCAAAAGCCCTTAACAGGTACTTGTTGGATCGATGATTTAATGTCGCCATTGGCGGGATTGCGGACCAACTGCGATGAGCTGCCGCGGTTGGATCTAATGATGTTATTGTTGCCGCTGCAGCTGCATCATTTGTGGCCGCTCAAATTGCATAATGTATGCAAAAAGCTTAACTAACTGTGCGCATCGCTGATTGAAATATTGAAATCAAGTGGCATTTACAGCTGCCCAAGCACCAGCAGCGAATCGCACACATACGTACTATTTACACACACATGTATGGCTGCGGATGTGTTTACCTGTGGACAGCACACAATTCCCAGCAATTTCCGTTTCCTTTTCACGCCGCTCGTATGATTTTCACACCGCTCTCGCTTGATTGATTGAAACATTCACTGATCATCACCTGATTTTAATGCCCTTCTGAATAAAAGAGGGTGTTAATTGAATTATTTAAAAAATACAATTTTCTTCTTATTAAAAAGAAAAGCAATTAATTTAAATTAACAAATAAGCATTTAAGTACTGAATAATTTTTGGCAGGGTATCCCATATGTTTCTCTTAAATAACTCTATATTTTGCACCTTCTTGACACGTTGTTAATATTTTTTGCTGCTGTTGGGAGTTGGCATTTTATAACAATTTAACCCATTTTTTTTTTAAAGGCCCTTGTTAATTTTTTTGTGAGTGGCGAGGGGACTGTCATGCAACGCTCGTTAAATTGGAGGCTATTGATACTCGAGAAGGGCTCTTGGGGATATTTAACTTAATTCGCCAATGATTGATTGTTTCACAAATGTTTGTGGATAGCGTGGTAATAAAATGGTTAATTATTTGTAATTAATAAAAAATGAAATAACTTCATTTTTTCAATACCT